AGTCGCATGCTCTTTTTTGTATATGATTGATATCTGGGGTTTAAAGTCCCAAAACCACCATATGATTATGAGAGACGCCACTACAAAGTGATCTAAATGCTGTGTTATCATGGTGCACCACATGGAACATGACACTTAACTTTTCAAAATGTAATACCGTTCGCTTCACAAACAAAAAGAACATTCTAAATACGAATTACTTTCTTGGAGACAATCGTTTGGAAGTTGTGTCTAAATGTAAGTACCTAGGCGTTTTCATTACGAGCAACCTATCCTGGAACGACCACATTGAATACGTCGGTGCTAAAGCGAGCTGTGTATTGAACTTCCTGAAGCATAACTTTAAACAGGCCCCACCTAAACTAAAGGAAACGCTCTATCTTTCCAACGTTCGCTCAATTTTAGAGTGCGGTTGTGTGGCTTGGGATCCAGACACTAAAATATGTACTAATGCGCTAGAAAGGGTTCAGAAACGAGCAGCGCGTTTTGTGTCTGGTAACTATGATTTCACTAACCGCTCTTCGTGCATTCGTTAACATTTGGGTTGGCCTCTCCTGCAGGACAGGCGCAAATTCTTAGGATTAAATCTATTTCATAATATTTATATTGGTAGCACTGTTTAAATAAAGACGTGTACATTAAAGATTCCACTTATGTATCCTCTCGCCTAGATCACTCCCGCAAAGTTCGCGAATACCGATGTCGCATAAATACTTACAAAAACTCCTTCTTCCCGAAAACCACACACGAATGGAACAACCTACCAGAATATATTGTATCCACCCCGCCACCCTCATTTCAAAATGCTCTGTCACAATTTTTGTTGAAATGAAAGATGCCGATTTCTGTCTGCATTTCTGTTTGTGTTTTACTTTTCCTTGATTGCCTCGTGTTCCCGAGAATGTGTACACACTGTATAAGCTGAGCATGCTTACTTGTTATGTTATCGGTATTCATACCCTGTATCAATTTCAAGTTTTATGTCTCCTCCCACTCCTCCCACCTACTCTAATGCCCAAATTGGGCGCTGTAGGTACTCGAATAAATAAAATAAATAAATAGTGAAGGGCTCCGGAAATTTCGACCACCTGGGGTTCTTTCAGTGCACCCAAATCTGAGAACACGGGCCTACAACATTCCTGCCTCCATCGGAAATGCAGCCGCCGCAGCCGGGATTCGAGCCCGCGACCTGCGGCTCAGCAGCCGAGATTCGAGCCCGCGACCTGCGGGTCAGCAGCCGAGTACCTTAGCCGCTAGACCACCACGGCGGGGCATGTTCTTTCATGTAGCCCTCAAGCAACTCACCTTGGCACATTTGACTGAGCGATACAGCCAATCTGTTCACATCTACACCGATGGGTCCATGAGTTCATCCGCCTCAGTTGCAACATTCATTCACTCTCAACTCGGTGTTTTCCGGCATTACAAACTAAATCACAGGTCGCCTTCGACAGCTGCGGAACTTGTTTCTTTATACGAAGAAATCCAATTTGTGAACAGCCGTGCACCGTGCAAATGGATGTTCCCGTCCAACCCAAAATCACCGCTTCAAGCCAAAAATCTCTCTCGAGAAACGGCCAATTTTAGGCGTTAACTTTAGGAAACGTCCAAGCATTCAATCTAAAACACATAGGTGGTCACTTGATTCCACTCCAATGGTTTCCTGGACATTGGGGCAACAAACTAATCGATAGCCAAGCAAAACAGACACAGTACAAAGCGCCCATGCACGTCAAAGTATCGTATTCGCGAACTGACGTCCACACACTGTAGTGATCGCTCATGCGCGAAATGCTCGTGTGTGGCTTAGTGGTAGCAACCAGATCATCGGGACAAGCGTCTGCGGGAAAAAGATCCCGATATAACTTTTCGTCTTGCGGCTGAAATCAGCTTAAGACATATGCAACTGCGCTGCCCCAGATTCTCCTTGGCGTTGCATTCTCTCGTCACTACGCCCACCTAATCGACCGTGCTGACCTCCAATTGTAGCGCTACTAAATGCGCGATGCTGTAGCTAATGAGATTTGTGACTGTCCATTACACGTGACGCAACGCTAATTTCTACGATGATAAGCAACGGACAAATGCCACTCACTGAAAGCTAAACTATGTCAGCAATGTGTGACCTAGACGTGTCAAGAGTTGCTACAAGGGCTGTTTTGACTTTATCAAAAGCACTGGACTAGATGCTGAGCTTTAGGGTGCTATGCTAAGTGTTTACTATACATACTCTTTACCTCTTCCTGTCCCCACCCTGCCTTCTTGTCTCTTTTTAACCCTTTCTCTTATTCTTTGTGTGTCAAATAGACGTTTTATTCTGTTTCTCCAGGCCGACACGTGTCGTCTTTCACAGTCCTTCGCAAGGAAAGACACAGATACGCGGCCAATGCTTTTATCTAGGGGCCGTGGTACAGCTTAACAAGGGTGTGTTAAAGTGCTGAGAACGTGAACAGGAAAACAAGGAGAGTGAGAGTTATCTTTGTACATCATACTATGCAGATGGGTGACACAGGAGAGTGACGTTAAGAAAAGTGAATCTGAAAGTTGCCAAGAAAAGCAGCAGAGGAAGGTAAACGCTGTGTACATATGGGTGCTACAGTACTAGCTTCGAGATCTTGGAGGAGCGCCCTCTCACGTGTGACATCAGTTTATGGACTCCGCTGTCAACTGCGCTACAGAAGCCGCTGCTCCTTTGCGCGGATTGCCTGTCTCTGGCGGAAAGTTGCGGTGTCTCATCGACAGGGTGGTGGCGTACGACACAGGCCACGTTGTTGAATGTGCGCCGCAGACGCCGTCACTGATTATTGCATCAGCGTCGCGACCCTGGTTGTGCAAACACGTGGACTTGCGAACCCGCCACACAACGTCCCCGTGACGATCGAGTGCTGCGCAATGGTGAAGTACCGTTCTGTGCCTCAGTGTGCTTCATCCGCCGGTGAAAAGGACGTAAACTCTCAAAAGAATTCTAGAGAAAAGAGCACAAATTTTTTTGCAGTGCAATAATAGTGATAGTGAACACGAGGATATGTGTGAGAATCAATGATTTCTGACGTTCTGGCATTCGCATACAACACACGAGCTAATTGCTCCAGAGCATCAGTATAAACGGCTGCTTAGACAGTCAATCAACCGTGGCATCTACTAGAAATGCAAAGCAGCATCAAATTGCGAAGTTTGGGATAACGGTGCTTAGATGGCGCTTATGGGCGTTAGCAGGGCGCAAGCCTGCGTAGTATTGCAGTGGGGGAAGCCTGGTAGGGTAGGTGCTGGTGTAACTCGGGAAGGGGGCAAGTTCTGCCTTAATGCATGCCCTGGTCGATGCAAACGACACCAGTTCTCCAGTTATGTTTGTTCAATGAGAGTGACATCATGAACTAGTTCATGATATTACCACACAGGGCTCTCACTCGGGTATCAGAGTATAACATATAGCTGTTGCTGATGGTATATACCGCGCACAGAGCCACAAATATTATGTGACAAGCTTTACTGAATGCGCACTAAACAGTGAAGCAAGTTTCGCTTATGAATTTATGGTATGAAATGCGCTAGGCATGCACTTGTCTTAATCGGTAAACAACGTATATATGTACGTGCACCAACCAAATAAAGCTGTAGTCTCCAATTTGCTGTGCTGCTCAGCTGAACCCACGAGGCGCGCTTACCCGAGTGGATTCGGACGCCGCGTCATCGGCTATCCTGTTTAGGGGCCTTCGCGGTAGGTTTTGGGACGCCATCTCACCTGGTGTAAGTTGCCTATGCCAGCAGCCTGCGTGCAATCAATGACTGAAGTACTGGTGAGGGGCTGAGACATGGTTGCAAGATTGCCAAAAAGTGGAGTGCAGGGCGGGTATAGCAGAAGTCACGGTCAACGAAGTGGTTCCTGCACACTGTTGGTAAAGATGTGTGGCGCTTTCTCTCTCTTCGGGTCCTTAGAATATAGTTGTTAAAGCTAACGCTCTTTTCACGGGTTGGGAATCATATAGAGGCACAGAGCAGTACTTCATGGATGCGCAGCACTCGACGCGGAGACAAGCGGCCACAGTTAAAAAAACGAACAAACAAAGCACTGTGGTTTTAAAACTATCGTTAAAAGCGGACACTCATGGTTGTTAGAACAGTGTCGGTAGCCGCTATACTTATGATAACCAATAGAACGGCGGCTTCGGAGATTTTTACCACGACTGTAATTACTATACGGCACTGTGCCTCGAAAGATTTGGAATCCTCATGCTGACGTCATACGAGCGTGGTTCGCAGCGCCACCATCGCTCGCACACCAGACCAATAGCAAACTCACGAGGGATGATGTGAGGGTGATGAAAAGATAAACGGGGAGATGTTGTGTAGAACATCACCGCCATGCGTCGCACAGTGTAGCGAAAAAGCAAAGGGAGTGGGACTGAGGAAGAAGAATAGAATGTTGGAGCGGAGCAGCATAGCCCTACAGTACAGGAATAGGGTGTGAGTAGGAAAAGGACAGTTGTAAAAAGAAGAGAAGGGGCAAATCGTAGCAAAGCTGTGTCTAGTATATGGGTAGGTAATACAAAAAAACAAAACGGGAGCATGCCCGGGGCTCCGCTCAACGAAATAAATGTGTCCACACCCACCATCGACAATGAGCAGGCTTGACGATTCGAACTTCAGCGCATGCTTGCCTGAGAACGTGACTGTCGCTTAAAAATAGGTGAATCACTGCTCTGCGTTTCCTACATCTTTCACGCTAACAGCAAGAGCATACATTTTACTAGTGGTTTGCTTAATTCGCACTCACAGAAACGGGTTTGACTTTTTACGAGCACGGGTGCTCATAAAAACGTACTTGCTGCTGCTTTATTTTCTTTGCACGTATACTAGACAGGTAAGGCTGCCATAAATGGGATTTTCCGCCCGTCTTTCTTCCTCAGTACTCGTCAATGCATTCGGGATATAAAGCGTGCAGATAAAACTCCTACCATTGCGACTACAATTGGTACAACTACGACCACTACTACTACTACTACTACTACTTCTTGAGCGTTTTATTAACCAGATATTAGTTACGAATTGTACATAGTTTTCTTCATGTGCGATTGATTAGTTATGGTCATATGATACGATATGACGCTACATATCAGGCTTCAGTGACCTGGCAACTGTTGGACACAACAAAAACTTTTCTTACGGCTTCAAGGCAAATCACAGTCCTTCCAGAGCTTCATTACGTCGCTCCCTTGGGTCTTTATCTCTATCCAATCCTTCGTTAGTTTTATCTGCTCCTCCATGAAGTAGTTTCTCCAGTCACCCACTATTCCTTTACGCACGAACCCTGATCCCTCGTGCATCTCGTCAAACTTGGCCGACGTGTTCTCCAATGTTCCAGGCGAAACACTTTTGTCGCAGGTTATATCGAGGATTTTTTTCACTCCCTCCATTGGGCGTTCACTGAAGAATCGTTTCATGTTCTCAAGACTGCTGGCATGCAGCACCTTCTGAAGAAGATTATCGTCTTTGCGCAGTGCAGCACCGTGCTCCTCGTCAATAAAGTCGGCAATCTTCAAAACTTGTGTCTTTGTATCGGCTTTTAGTTGCTCGTAGGTAAGGAAAAGGACATTAGCATTGTTTCTTCGCTCATACCACGGAAGCAAGTGGTCGAAGTAATCACCATAAATGACCTGCGCACGGGAAAAAAGTCAGTGCCCTGTTAGTACGCAAGAAATATTCTTGCATTGTATAAATCTCTCAACATTTGTGCATTTCTCAATTCACCATATCAACCTAAACAGAGTTATGTAAAATGCTGTTTTACTGTTGTTTTTTGCTTGTATTGGCGTATAAGACCTTATACATAACGCTGTGCTGAAGTGTGATAACGATGCTTCTGCTATGCCAATGCAAAATTGTCCAACGTGCTGTCTGTTCACTCCTGTATCAGCATATTTAGGCTGAGTCCCCAACAAATGAATGAAAATAAGGAGTGGCTGGTGCCCAGGAGGGCCTTTCATCGTGAAGTTGGCAGTATTACAAAAGCAGTACAAAATTTACAATGCTAGGGACAATCACAAACTCACTCCCCGGGCTGAGAAATATAGACATGAAGGTACATTATCATACCTATTCTGAGTGGTACCATAATTGTTCCGGTAATAGTGGCGCTCACACGGCATAAATGTTCACCATGGTTGTCAAACAACATAACCACTCCCGTAAGTATTGGTCAAAGTGCTCAGATAGACAATTGCAAGCTGTTGGTATTGATTATATTTAGCGCATAAAACGTAGTTTAACACTCCTGCGCACGAACGTGTACACCCACCTTGCCGGATAAGAAGAGGGGTAAGAATTTCTCGAAGGAAACATCAGTAACTGTCTTTGGAGTTAATCCCTTTAGGAAGTGGTAGTAGGACACAGCACAGTCATAAGGATTTCTAGCCACATAGATGTACTTTGCATTGTCCACCGGTGGAAAAACCTCCAACGGAAGATGAGTCATGATGGGACCTGTCCTGGATGGATTCAGAGCAGGTCCTGCACCTGTCATTTCAATGAATGGGCACGCAAGCCTAAACTCGACAACACCAGGTAGCTCTTCGCCACGTGAAATAATGCTGTGCACAATGATCATTGTCCAGTTGGTTCCACATTTGGGATAGGTTACGACGATGACGTCTCCATCCTGGTGTTTGTAATCGATAGCGGAGTTAATTGCGCCTTCCGGGAAGACGTTGTGCATCCATACGCCTTTGACAAAACGGTAGGACTCTTGGTCCATGTTGAGCCAGTTGTCAATGTCTGCAGAAAAAAAAAGAAGATAACAATAGGATGCCTTAAACTTTCTTGCGTGGTGTCCGCAACATGCATTGTTACTTTTTGGACTAGCATACGTTAGAATTTTTGTTTCGGTGGACCATGTGGCTTATTGTGAAAACGTTTCTTTCAAATATATTTTGTTTGGAGCTGTGGGCGCGCAGGTTGCTAGCGTCATTATCGGGACGGCATTTTTTCAGGAAAAACTCTGCGAACCACGGGAAAGCGTATTTTTGTGTCGAAATGACAGTCTTTGAAATTAAGATAAAAAAATAGGTGCAAGACACATGACCAGCCTTCGCGTTGCACATTTGTGTGCTTAGATTTAGGTGCACGCTAATTTACCCGAATGTGTTTATATGAACCCTGCGTTCATGTCAACGCGGCGTGCCTCACAACGACATCATACTTTTTATGTAAACCATCTGCATTTATTACCACAATCAAACATATAGATACGAACTTAAAATACTAACACGAAATAGATAACTACCCAACACCAGGTCAAACTCCCCAAATAAAAACTAGTTAATGACCTCCGGCTAGCACACATTCGACCATCCAAAAACCTACGGCATATGTTTTGACAGTGCTGGATAGAATTGAATAACATATCGCTGCAGCTCTCGTGAAACTTGTGCAGGTTCCATTGCTAGGCGAATAATATTCTTAGGTTATTACCGCATGTGCCCTGTCATGCTTCCCTGCGCATCCACAAGTGTCTAAGAAACTCGTCGAAATAATCTTTACCGCAATGTTTGATGCAATCAAGGTCCCAATATTTGCTAATATTGTGCTTCGTGGTTGAAGGTAAACATGACAGAGATATGCATGGCTGGACAAAATAATACGAATAAAGCAAACTCACCAGATACATTAAGCCTATGTTTTCTAATAATAAAATAAAACTGGACCGAGGTTTCCTGACCCATTCGGTGTCTTCTTGAAGGGTTGAATGTATATGTACAGTCATTGTTGGAGGAAAGGAAAAAAACGCTCCTTTTTGTCTGTTCGTTGGTGACACGACTAAGTGCCCTGTAGGGTGGATGAGGGATATAAAGATTAGTGGAAAATAGGTAAAGAAATAGGAGTGTTCATGAGGGAAAAAAAGAGATAGGAAGATTGCCGGTCGAAGAAGCCCAAGTACGGGGCACCACTCTGCGAGAGTTTCGCGGCGTCAGGAGACAACGGATGCAGCTACGCAGCCGTCGGAGATCGCGGGGGCACAACCATTCTGCTTGAAATCATCCGAGCAACTCGGCTGAGTTCGTGGTGGACTCCGAAGCAATAGCGACTTTTCTTAGTGGTGTCCCGCTCTCTCTCATTGTTCTTTTTATCGTTCTTGTTGCTGTGTTGTTTTCTCCACTGGATACGCATATCGTGCAAATAATTCTCCGCATGGTCCCAGTAGAGCAGTTAGTGTTTTCAGGTGCTGTTTGGATATTCCAACACCCTAAGAATCGCTTTTTTGCGCGGCTCCCTTTATGACAATGACCCGAGCGGCGTCGAAGGTGATGCGATGGGGTATCTTTTCGCTGTGTTCTGCAAGAGCGTTTCGTGCAACGTTGAAGTTACGTACGTCGTTTCCGTGTTGCCGTACACTTTCTGGAACGTTTTCGTCACGCCGATGTAAGTGGCGTGGCGATCAGTGCATGGAATCTCGATGACGAGCCTGGAGAATATTTCTATCGGCAACGAGTGCTTTGGCCGTTGATACAGTCGGCCATTTTCTGATGAAGGTTGGCGTGCCATCTGCATACCTCCACAAAATATAGTAAAAGTGACTGGAGAGCTCGTTTTATACGTACACCTCTAGGTTGGCTTTACATAGCCCCATGTATTTTTCAGTTTAATATGTATATCTTGTCTGCTAGAAGTTTGTTAGATATTCTTACAGATTTAACATAACATGTCTCTACTTCTTCAACGTATCTGTATGTTGCCTCTACTTTGCTCTTCAGTAATGAGTTGTGTTCGTTATTGGTTAACTCAATTGCTTTCCATTAATCTCAGAAATCCACAGTGACTGTTTTGTGTTTTGCGAATTTGACAAACGCTGTATTTATTTTCTGTATTTTCTGCTGTAGTAGGACTTCCCAGTTATTTTTTGTACCTAATCGACAAATAGCCTTCGTCTACAGGTCCAAAGTGTGTTTGGTAACTCCGTATATAGTATGAAATAAAATACTTGTTGAAAAAGTGGCCCTTCATATGTACCTGATGTTGAACAGGAATAATGGGACGTTTAAAAACAATACAGAACAAGCATGGTTTGTATTTATCACCCTGTTTTATTTCGCAATCTGTTGGAGTAGGCGCTGTTCAGCATTATGAAGCCGTATTATTTACTTCAGCTTCGCACTTTAAGGTCTTACTATGTTTCTTGTAGTGATATTGCGCAATCATTTATAAACCAACAGGACAATATAATGCTCCGCGTGTCTTTTACGTAAAGCTATAATCGTCGTAAAAAGGTGAATAAAGAAAAGTATACTTTTTTGGCGTTACTAAACTTCAGCGGAGGCCCTCACTATCCAAAATCAAGTCTCGAAACAAAGTGGTACACACCCATACTGTCATAAAGAACCCTGTCTGAATCAAATGGATGAGTTTTACAAACAGTGCAAAACAAAAGGAAAAGAACACTTTCAATCAGGGAATAATTGAATTTCGTGGCGATGTAATTCAAATCTCCACTAAAGCATGGTTGGGAGGAAGCTCTGTCCAGCTCGGATCTGAAAAGCCAACAGGCTCCCGTGAAACGTGCGAAGACAGCGGCCTGCGCCAATGGGATCCTGAACTAAGGATTCCACTCACCTATCCACGCGCGAAGAAAGTCATAATGAGCGTTCTACTTTCTGTCTCTTCACTAGAGCCCCATGTTACGTAAATATATAAGATGGTACGAATAAGCAAAAAAAAAAAAAAGCTTCACTTCAAGTGAATTTGAGGTAAGGCGTTTGCACAGCCCTCAATTGAATTTTCGGAAGGGTCGTTTCAGATGCTCAAGAAAGCCAGCAAGATTAAAGATCCATAAAAGTGTTGCCTGATAACAACCATAAGAGCAGGGGTCGAAAACACGTGGACCGCCAACGTTTCGGAAGTTGCCCGTGCCTTTCCAGTCTATATAACCTCGTGACCAGGCGAAGTGATCGGCGCATCAGTTTCTCACCTATTTGATTGAGAATCGCCAGCCTAGATGGTACAGTGGATAAGCTTCTCGGTTGTTGACACGAAGGTCGCTGGTTCGATACTAGCCATGGTGGTTTCATTTCAATAGAGCTAAAATAGTTGAGGCTCGTGTGCTGTGTGATGTCATTGCATGTTGAAGAACACCAGATAATCAAAATTGTGGAGCCCTCCACTACGCCGTCTCTCATAATCATATCGTTCTTGTGAGATGGGAAACTTACTATGGTAATATTTTTGGATTGTGAAGGCTTCTTCGGGGAGAGTTCGGACATGGGACTGCTTGACCTGAAGCAATATTTTCTTGAAGTACTACAGAAAATATCGCCGCAGAGCAGAAGTCGGCAATTAACGGCTCTTTGCACGATTTCGGAACTTTGCTTCCTTCACTTCTCACTTTCGTGAAAGCTGACCTTTGAACATATCATTGAAGTACGCTGTTGAAATCCAGAAAACACCACTCATGCTGCGACATGACGCTTCGAAGGCGAGAGAATGCGCGAAAAGAAAATGTGGGTGATACGCCGCCGTGAGATCCCCACCCTGAACCCCACGAAATAGGTAAATTTTGAAGGAGTCCACTGGGTCCACCGTCGCTCCTACTCGATAAAGATGAAGTACCTTCATTGTCAGCTGTGGATGCAATAGTCCTAGCAACTGAAGTTCAGGAAAATTTCATCAAGTCAATGTCATGAAAATACGAGAAATACATTTTGAAATTTGCTACATCATGCGCCAATTCAAACTTGGTCTTCTCCGCTAGTAATGAACTTAAAGCAGTGAAACTTTTGGTATTTTGTAAGTTCGTCAAACTTATGTCAATATCAGTGCACTTTGTCAATCTAAATCAAGGCATTGTCCTTCAGTGTTCCTTTTATATGAGGTTATGGCTTCAAACTTATGCTTTTAAATTGAAGCCTTGTGACATGCGCGCTCAAATAATACTTCACAACTACATATACATTCCAGTTCCATACATATTTGTCATTGAGCCAAATTGTTTCTTTTTGACTTTAGAGTACCACCTTCCCTTCACCCCCTTTTCGGTTCTATATCGGCTACATGCCACTCGGTTCTTCGCCTCCCCCACCGAGGTAGCCTAGGGACTAACCCTGCTGGCTCGCAGGTCGCGGGGTCAAATCACGGCTGCGGCGGCTACATTTTCAATAGAGGGAAAAATGCTGTAGGCCCTTTTGCTCAGATGTTTGTATGCGAATTCATTTTTTTTGTAAAAACTATCAACCATTGGAATTGTATGACATCTGTGAAAGTGTCCAGTGACAATGAAAATGTATTTTTTTCAACTCTGTAACCCCCCCTGCTGTAACGCTTCGAGGCAAAGCGGGGGTATATAAGAAAAAAAAATAAAGAATGTAAACAACACCAGGTGGTCAAAATTTCCAAAGCCCTTCACTATGGCATCTCTCATAATCATATGGTGCTTTTGGGACATTAAACCCCACATATCAACAAATCAATCAGTCATCCGCCTCAAAAGGTTACTGACCCCAGGTTTACTACAACAAAATTTTGAAAATTTTACTCAGCGCAAAGATCGGCGTCTCAAAACCTACGCCAGACCTACTGTGGACGTGACATGCATAACAAATATGACAAAAGGCGTTGCTTTCATTGATTTGATGGATATATTGGGTTTGCGTCCTAAAACCACCATATGATTATAAGAGACGCCAAGGCATTGCTTTAGGCGACGACGTTAAGTGTCAATATGTTCAAGATACAACCTCTCCCTCAAACCCAACACACTTTCACATTCTTCATTATACCCGCCTTCG